GAAACTGTTTTATAGGGACTGAAACTGTTTTATAGGGACTGAAACTGGTTTATAGGGACTGAAACTGGTTTATAGGGACTATAACGGTCTGGATGAGCAGCAGAGCCTGAAGCAGACAGGAATTCCAGCCCTGCAAAGAGCACCCAAAGCTGGATCCATCATGGAATTCCTCTACACAGAGACAGGGAACGGGAACCTGCTGTGGTACCTGCAGCTCCTGCCAACTCCACAAATGATATCCATGAGGGATGTCCCCGATTCCAGCACCGATCCATGTCCCACATATCCATGGACACCTGCACTTCAGAGCAAAAATTCCTTAATTTAATTTTGAGCCCATGAGAATTAATGTCTAAACAAGACCAGGGGTCCAGAGACTCAGGGTTCCTGCTGTTGGAGTCATTATAGTCCTCTGAGGAAAGGTGCAGGGTTTGAAAATAAAACATTTCCTAGTTTGGAATTGTTGGGATTGTTCAGCCTGGGAAAGAGAAGGTTTCGAGGTGACCTGGTTGTGGTTTTCCAGTACCCGAAGGGAGCTGGCAAGAAACACGGAGAGGGACTTTGGACAAGGCCATGGAGCGACAAGACAATGGGGAATGGCTTCAAACTGCCAGAGGGCACCGTTAGATGGGATATGGGGAAGGAATTCTTCCCTGGGAGGGCGGTGAGGGGCTGGAATAGAATTCCCAGAGAAGCTGTGGCTGCCCCTGGATCCCTGGAAATGTCCAAGGCCGGATTGGAGGAACATGGGAAAGTGGGAGGTCTCCAGCTTTTAAAGGGACTGGGAACCAACGGCAGCTCCCCCGGGCTCGGATCACAAGGAGACGGAGGCTCCTGTTACTCCCGCCCTGAGCCGTGTTCCGACCTGGGAGCTCTCCTAGAGGACACCCAGCTCGTGGCTGAGCCAATCCATCGTTGTTCCAGGGACAGCTGCATGGGAACACAGGGAATTTGAAGGCTTGGGATCTCTGTAACATTCCACTCTGGTGCATAAATTGTCCAATATGTCAACACACTTCGGAGCAAAAATTCCTTCACTGAATTTTGAGCCTGTGAGAATTAATGTCTAAACAAGACCAGGGGGCCAGAGACTCGGGGTTCCTGCTGTTGGAGTAATTATAGTCCTATAATTAGTTGGAGTAATTATAGTCCTCTAAGGAAAGGCTCGGAGAACTGGGATTGTTCAGCCTGGGAAAGACAAGGTTTGGGGGTGACCTGGTTGTGGTTTTCCAGTAGCTGAAGGGAGCTGGCAAGAAACATGGAGAGGGACTTTGGACAAGGTCATGGAGCAACAAGGCAATGGGGAATGGCTTCAAACTGCCAGAGGGCAGGGTTAGATGAGATATGGGGAAGGAATTCTTCCCTGTGAAGGTGATGAATAGAATTCCCAGAGAAGCTGTGGCTGCCCCATCCCTGGAAGTGTCCAAGGCCAGGTTCTTCAAAGCCCCTTCCAACCCAAACCATTCCATGATTCCACATTTCTGTGCCCATCCTGCTTTTCCTGGCACATGGGAAGGGTGTCTGTGCTGCTGGGAACAGAGATGCAAAGACCAGGAGAACTCCAGGAGCTGATGGAGTGACTCCATCCTGCAGTGACATTAAATATAGGATTGGAGTGACCTGGGTGCTGGATTTTTTTTGGATCACAGGTCTCCTATGGAGAGAAAGCCAAAGAAACCCAGATCTCCACCATCTTCGGGTGTTTCCTGCACTCAGAAGGTCTTTTGGAGTCTGAATTTAAACCTTGGTGTACTGGTCCTTCTCCTTCTGCCCTAAAACAGGGATTCGTGTGTCCTCCCCAACATTCCCTGTCAGGGATATTTGGCTTTTCCAACCCTGTTTGCCCTGGTTTAAAAAGAAAACAAGGACAGCACCAACCCCAAAGCCCTGCCCAGGACAAACAAAAGTCCCTTTGTTTGCTCCAGGCATTGGATCCAAGTGGAAATCTCGTTAGGGAACGAGCAGTAACGGGTTTGCTGCCCTAATTATGGCTCTTGGAGCTGTTTGTTCTGTAGGAACGGATGAAAACGGGGGTGAAAAATTCCCTGCCCTGCTCCCTCTGGATTTTGTAACTTCCTCTGCCTCTTTTCCTCGCTAATGAGCGATGGGATAACGAGTTATCCGTTAATTTGGGAGGGAATGAGAGGGAGTCATGGTGCAAACCTGGTTGTGGATCCTGCCTGTCCCACCTCCCATCCCACTCTTGTCTCCAAACCAATCCTTTGGGAGTGCAGGTGTCCAAGGATGTGTGGGACATGGATCGGTGCTGGGATTGGGGACATCCCTCATGGATATCATTTGTGGAGCTGGCAGGAGCTGCAGATGCCACAGCAGGTTCCTGTTCCCCATCTCTGTGTAGAGGAATTCCATGATGGATCCAGCTTTGGGAGCTCTTTGCAGGGCTGGAATTCCTGTCTGCTCCAGGCTCTCCTGCTCATCCAGCCCATTTTTATCCTTCTTGGCAGCAGAAAATCAAAATAACTGTTAAATCTATGAGGGTGGGGAGGTGCTGGAAGAGAATTCCCAGAGAATCTGTGGCTGCCCCATCCCATGAAGCATCCAAGGTCAGGTTAGACAGGGCTTGGAGCAACCTGGAATAGTGGAATATGTCCTGCCCATGGCAGGGGGTAGAACTGGATGGTCTTTCAGGTCCCTTTCAACCCAAAAAATTCCATGAAAAGCAGCAGCCGGAGGAATAAGAGCGGTGTTTTCAGGTTCTCTTTGCACTGCCATTCCCAAATTATTCTGAGAAGAGCATCCTTCTGCTGTTTCAAGTCTCTTTTGACCCTTTTTTAGGAGCAAAAAGCTGCTCCATTTTAATCCCTGTCACCCAGGATCCCTCCAAGACTTGGAAACCAACTCCCACATAAGTTGTTGTCTTTTCCAGTGAGTCCATCAGCGTTCCCATGATCCCTTTGGGATTGAAGGAGACCAAGGAGCTGGATTTGCTGGTTCCACTGAAGGTGAGTTTTGTGCCCTCGGTGGATGGAAAATAAAACATTTCCTAGTTTGGAACAGCTGCAAAAAAAAAAATTCCTGGGGGAGAACCCGACTCAAAACATGGGAAAGTGGGACATGAGGGTGTGGAGATGCTGGAGAGCATCTGGAAGGAACAAGGAGATGGTTTTCCCTGTTTTCTTGTGGGCAGAGCTGGCAAATTGCTTGTCCAGAATTGTCCAAAATCAACCTTTAAATCATAAAAATCTGTTTTGAAGGGGTCACTCAGGGTTTTTCTCCTGTTTATTTTCCCATCCAGGATTTCATCAGTGAACACTATGGAGAGGAAGGTGTCCTGTTTGAGAAAGAAATCAAGGAGTTCATGGAGCTGAGGCAGGTCGGTGTGCCTTGGGATGCAAAGTCTGGCTTTGGATTGTCCAGGATCACTCCTTGAAAATGCCACATTTTTTCTCTGGGATGTCTCTTCATCCTCTCTCCAAACCGTCCCCTTATCCTTGTGTTTTGGGATGCAGGATTCCCACCCTGGAGCACCTCGGCTTTGATTTATAAATTATAAAATACTCCAGACTGATCAGTAATTGTTTATTTTCCCTGTCCTTGATGCCCTGGTTTAGGAATATTAGTTTAACCCTGGCAAAGCTGAACAGCTGCTCCTTGTCCAGCTGGGCCTTGGAGAAAAGGAAGTATAAAACAATCTGGGAAAGGAGGAAAAAAATCCTATTTCTTCCCTATATAATTATATCCTAGAAATATATGTAAAATACATATATATGTATTTTTTAATCCTATTTATATATATATATATGATGTATGTGTACATATATATAAAATATATATATTATATATATATTAAATACAATATATATAAAATACATGTTATATATATCGTATATAATATATTATATAATATATATTTTATATAATATATTACATATATAATTATATATATTTTATATACATATTTTATATATATATATGTAATTATATTTATTTTATATATATATAAGGGATCTTAAAGACCATCCAGTTCCAACCCCCTGCCATGGGCAGGGACACCTTCCATTAGCCCAGGTAGCTCCAAGCTCCATCCAACTTGGCCTTGGACACTTCCAGGGATGGAGCAGCCACAGCTTCTTTGGGAATTCCATCCCAACCCCTCCCCACCTTCCTAGGGAAAAATTTCTTCCCAATAGCCCATCTAAAGCTCCCATATTTCAGTTTGAAGCTGTTCCTTGTGTCCTGTCCCTCCATCCCTTGTCCCAAGTCCCTCTCCAGCTCTCCTGGAGCCCCTTTAGGCCCTGGAAGGAGCTCCAAGGTCTCCCTGGAGCTATCTCTTCTCCAGGCTGAACCACCCCAATTCTCAAGGAGTCTTTTTGGGGGTTCTCAGCCTGTGCCAGGGATCTCCCCCCTCTTTTCCCAAGCCCACCTCTCCTCTCCCATCCCGCAGGCCATGCGCACCCCGAGCCGCAACGAAGCCGGGCTGGAGCTCCTCATGGAATATTACAACCAACTGCACTTCCTCGACAGCCGCTTCTTCCCTCCCACCAAACCCCTGGGGGTCTTCTTCCACTGGTTAGTGCCGCTTTTCCCGATCCCGCCTGGGGCGCTGAGGGAGTTTGGGATCAAACCCCCGCCACGACGGACACGAGATCCGGGTTTGCCGGTCACGGGGGGGGGTTAATTAGGGGAGGAAGGGGGAACATTAATTAGGGAGGGAAGGGGGAAATGTTAATTAGGGGAGGAAGGGGGAACCTGATGAACCGTGATGGGAATAGTGGCTCCCACATAGAATCATAGAATCAGCTGGGTTGGAAGGGACCTCCGAGATCATCAAGTCCAACCCTTGATCCAACCCCACTGCAGTTCCCAGCCCATGGCACTGATGCCACATCCAGTCTCATGTTAAACACCTCCAGGGACAGAGAATCCACCACTTCCCTGGGCAGCTCATTCCAATGGCTGATTACCCTCTCTGTGAAGAAATTCTTCCTAATATCCAACCTACACCTCCCCTGACACAGCTTGAGACCACCCCCTCTTGTCTTGCTGACAGTTGCCTGGGAAAAGAGACCAACCCCCACCTGGCTACAACCTCCTGTCAGGGAGTTGTAGAGAGTGAGGAGGTCTCCCCTGAGCCTCCTCTACTCCAGGCTGAACAGCCCCAGCTCCCTCAGCCTCTCCTCACAGGACTTGTGCTTGAGTCCCTTCACCAGCCTCATTGCTCTCCTCTGGACCTGCTCCAGGACCTCAATGTCCTTCCTGAACTGAGGGGCCCAGAACTGGACACAGCACTCGAGGTGTGGCCTCACCAGCACTGAGTCCAGGGGAAGAATCACTTCCTTGGACCTGTTGGCCACACTGTTCCTGATCCAGGCCAGGATCCATTGGCCTTCTTGGCCACCTGGGCACACTCCGGTTCCTGTTCAGCTTCCTGTCCATCCAAACTCCCAGGTCCCTTCCTGCCTGGCTGCTCTCCAGGAGCACTGAAAACCCTCCAGGCTCCTCCTGCATCTGTGGGCAAGGATAGAGTGGTTTGGGTGGGAAGGGACTGTCAAGACCACCCCGTGCCAGGTGGGTGGGCAGCTGTTGATCATTGCCTTCTCCTTCCATTCTCCTTCCCTCCCCCAGGTATGACTCCCTGACGGGGGTGCCATCCCACCAGCGGGCCCTGGCCTTCGAGAAGGGCAGTGTCCTCTTCAACCTGGGGGCCTTGCACACCCAGCTCGGGGCGCGCCAGGACCGCGCCACCCTGCCCGGCCTCGCCCAGGCCATCGACGCCTTCCAGAGGGCAGCGGGTACGTGGGACCCGCCCGCCTCAGCCCCCCAGGAGGGGAGGGCACATGGGGTCTTGGGAATAAATCCTGGGAGGGATTGGAGTGAAAGGATGCTGAATGATGGCTGTTTCTGAATATATATATATTATGTTTGTAATTATATATACTATGTATATATAATAAATGTGTTATATATAATATATGTACACTATATTATTTTATATTTTATGTGTTATACATAATAATAGACTCTTGTATATATAATATATACAATTATATATTAATATAATATTAATATTCATATACTATTATCTATTAGAGGATAATATATCTAATATTATATATTAGATATTAGATATATATTAGATATGTTAGATATAGTAGGAATATAGTATATATATACTATATAGTACTATATCTAATATATAGTAGTATATATACTATCCTATAATATACTATATATACTATATTATATTACTATATAACAATATATATACTATATATAATATATATACTACAGTATAAAGTATATATATACTATATATAAAATATACAAGTATATAAAATATACTATAATATACTAATATACTATATAATATAGTATATATAATATATACTATACTATAGTTTATATACTATATTATATAGTATATAGTATATATACTATATATACATACTATATATGGTGTATATATATAGTATATATACTATAGTATAGTATATATAATATATACTATTATATATACTATGTATTAAATAATATTAATTTACTATATATATTATAGTAGAGTATATATACTGTTATTTATTTTTATTATATATAATATAATATATGTTATATAATAACATATTATATATGCTATAGTATTCTATATAATACATAATTATGATATATTATATATTATATAATATAGTATTCTATATAATATATAATAATATATTATGAATATAAATCTAAATCTATTATATATTATTATATAATTTATATATATCATTATATATAATATATATTATGCATATAAAAATATATATTTTATATATATATTATTCTAGAACTATTTAGTTTCAAAGGAAAACAGGTGTGGAGCCATTTTGCTTGGTGTCATCTGCAGCAATCCAGCACCATTAAAGCATAAAAATAACACTCCAGAAAATGTGTAAGGGAAGGAAGAGACAGAAAGGAAAGACCTAAATATTCATATATATATATATTCATATATTTATGCTGGATCCAGCAATGAACCTTGGTGGTCGCATCTTCCATGTGTGTTGGTTGAAGTGGTGGCCACAGTCCTGTCCCAGGGGTGCTCTCCATCCCTGGAGGGTGGGGGACTCCTGCCTTGGGGGTGACATGTTGGATGTGTGGATGGAGTTTCTCCCTCCAAAAGTCTGACCCTCCTGCTTCCGAGGCCGGTGACTCCCGGGAGCTTCTCCCTCCTGCAGGTGCCTTTAACTACTTGAAGGAGAACTTCTCCAACGCTCCCAGCCTGGATATGAGTGCTCCTTCCTTGAACATGCTGGTGAGGCTGATGGTGGCCCAGGTCCAGGAGTGTGTCTTTGAGAAGATGACCTTGCTCCGTGCCCAGAATGACTTCCTGGCCCGGCTGCAGCTCGCTCAGGAGGCAGCAAAGGTGAGGACTTTGGGGAGGAGAGGACTTCATAGAATCAATTAGGTTGGAAAAGACCCCTGAGATCATCAAGTCCAACCCGTGCCCCAACCCCACCTTGGCACCCAGCCCATGGCACCGAGTGCCACGTCCAGGCTCTGCTGCAACACCTCCAGGGACTGTGACTCCACCCCCTCCCTGGGCAGCCCATTCCAAGGGCTGATCCCTCTCTCTGGAAAGAACTTCTTCCCAATATCCAACCTAAACCTCCCCTGGCACAGCTGAAGGCTGAGCCCTCTTGTCCTACTGCTGGTTCAAGGGAGCAGGGCCCGACCCCCCCGGCTCCCCCCTCCTGTCAGGGAGTTGCAGAGAGTGAGGAGGTCTCCCCTGAACCTCCTCCTCTCCAGGCTGAGGCCCCCCAGCTCCCTCAGCCTCTCCTCATGGGAATTGTGCTCCAGACCCTTCCCCAGCCTCGTTGCTCTTCTCTGCACCTGCTCCAGCCCCTCCATGGCCTTCCTGAACTGAGGGGCCCAGAGCTGGACACAGCGCTCAAGGTGAGGCCTCACCAGTGCTGAGTCCAGGGGCAGAATCCCTTCCCTGCTCCTGCTGCCACACTCTTCCTAATCCAGGCCAGGATCCACTGGAGTTTTTGGCCCCCTGGGCACCTCTGGGCTCATGTCCCGCTGCTGTCACCAGCACCCCCAGGTCCCCTCCCTCTCCAACCGCTCTGTCCCAGCCCGTGGAGCTGCCGGGGGTTGTTGTGGCCAAAGTGCAGGACTCGGCACTTGGCCTTGTTGAACCTCACACTGCTGCACTTGGTGGGATGTCACTGTGGTCAGCAGAACCCTCCAGGAGAGGACAACCCGCTGCTGGTGTCCTCCTGATGGATGTCCTCCATCTCTTGTCTCCTCCCTCCTCCCAGGTGGAGGACGTCTACTCGCTGGTGCACCAGACCATGACCCAGCCCCACGTGAAGGACTATGTTCCCTTCTCCTGGACCACCATGGTCCACGTCAAGTCGGAGCATTTCAAAGCCCTCTCCCACTACTTCGCTGCCATCGCCCTCTGCGACTGCCCCGGTGAGTTCCCACCTTGGAAGGAGCTTCCTGCTCCCCTGGGGGGGATTTCCAAAGAAGGGAGGCATGAACAGGTAGATGGATCCAAATCCTGGAGGTTTTGGGATGCTCTGAGGAGATGGATCCAAATCCTGGAGGGTTTGGGATGCTCTGAGTAGATGGATCCAAATCCCAGAGGGTTTGGGATGCTCTGAGGAGATGGATCCAAATCCTGGAGGTTTGGGATGCTCTGAGGAGATGGATCCAAATCCTGGAGGTTTGGGATGCTCTGAGTAGATGGATCCAAATCGTGGAGGTTTTGGGATGCTCTGAGTAGATGGATCCAAATCGTGGAGGGTTTGGGGTGCTCTGAGTAGATGGATCCAAATCCTGGAGGTTTTGGGGTGCTCTGAGTAGATGGATCCAAATCGTGGAGGTTTTGGGATGCTCTGAGTAGATGGATCCAACTCCTGGAGGTTTTGGGATGCTCTGAGGAGATGGATCCAAATTCTGCAGGTTTTGGGATGCTCTGAGTAGATGGACCAAATTGTGGAGGTTTTGGGATGCTCTGAGTAGATGGATCCAAATCCCGGAGGGTTTGGGATGCTCTGAGTAGATGGATCCAAATGCTGGAGGTTTTGGGATGCTCTGAGTAGATGGATCCAAATCCTGGAGGTTTGGGACGCTCTGAGTAGATGGATCCAACTCCTGGAGGTTTTGGGATGCTCTGAGGAGATGGATCCAAATCCTGGAGGGTTTGGGATGCTCTGAGGAGATGGATCCAAATGCTGGAGGTTTTGGGATGCTCTGAGGAGATGGATCCAAATCCTGGAGGTTTTGGGGTGGTCTGAGTAGATGGATCCAAATTGTGGAAGTTTCGGGGTGCTCTGAGGAGATGGATCCACATCCTGGAGTTTTTGGGATGCTCTGAGCTGTGGATCTACTTCATCCACTCAGCAATTCCTGCCCAGCAGATTTCCTCCCCATTTCTGGTTTCCACAGGGAAAAGTCCTCCTAAAAAAAAGGAACAAAAAGGTGCTGTAGGGATGTCACCTGCTGTAGGGATGTCACCTGCTGTAGGGATGTCACCTGCTGTAGGATGTCACCTGCTGTAGGGATGTCACCTGCTGTAGGATGTCACCTGCTGTAGGGATGTCACCTGCTGTCCCCTTTGGGGCTGGGGGGCTAAATAGGTGCTAAACCTGCCTGCTGACCACACCAGTGTCCTCAGCCCACCATCCTTGGAAGCACCTCGTGTTGGAGGCTCCAAAAATTAAAAATAACCCCCAAAATATCTTGAGTTTCCCATGGTGCCAGGAGAAGTGGGGTTGGTACCAGAAATGAGTGATCTGGGCTTGCGCACTTTGAAGGTGATACAAGGACAGAATCCCTGCTATCCTGAAGTTCATGGGAGCTTGGCCATGGAATTGTCTCCCATCAGAACCAGCCATTGCTCCCCAAGTATCACATGCCATTTCCATGGATTTTCCCAAACTTGGTGCCAGGAGAAGTGGGGTTGGCACCAGAGATGAATGCTCTGGGCTTGCACACTTTGAAGGTGATACCAAGGCCAGAGTTCCTGCTATCCTGAAGTTCATGGGAGCTTGGCCATGGAATTGTCTCCCATTGCTCCTCAGGCATCACTTTTGGGGAGCTCTTTTTGGGCCTGTTGTCACCTGCACTGCTCAGCTTGTGGCTGGTGCCAGGGCTGATGCTGGGGAATTCAGTTCCCAAGCTCGTGGCTGGATGTCCCGGGAGCCTCAGGGAGGGTGGGGTGCTGGCAGCAGGGCACACACGTGGCTGTGCCAGGCTGGTGCGTCTCCATGGAATCTCTTGGAGTTGGGATGTGGGATGTGCCCCGTCACAGTGTGCCCAGGTGGCCAAGAAGGCCAATGGATCCTGGCCTGGATTAGGAACAGTGTGGCCAACAGGTCCAGGGAAGTGATTCTTCCCCTGAACTCAGCGCTGGTGAGGCCTCACCTCGAGTGCTGTGTCCAGCTCTGGGCCCTCAGTTCAGGAAGGACATTGAGGTCCTGGAGCAGGTCCAGAGGAGAGCAACGAGGCTGGGGAAGGGACTCAAGCACAAGTCCTGCGAGGAGAGGCTGAGGGAGCTGGGGCTGTTCAGCCTGGAGAAGAGGAGGCTCAGGGGAGACCTCCTCACTCTCTACAACTCCCTGACAGGAGGTTGTAGCCAGGTGGGGGTTGGTCTCTTTTCCCAGGCAACTCTCAGCAAGACAAGAGGGCTCAGTCTCAAGTTGTGCCAGGGGAAGTTTAGGTTGGATGTTTGAAAGAATTTCTTTCCAGAGAGGGTAATCAGCCATTGGAATGGGCTACCCAGGGAAGTGGTGGATTCTCCATCCCTGGAGGTGTTTAAGATAAGACTGGATGTGGCATCAGTGCCATGGGAACCGCAGTGGTGTTGGATCAAGGATTGGACTTGATGATCTCGGAGGTCCCTTCCAACCCAGCTGATTGTCTGATTCTATCATTCTATCTCCATCTGTGCTGTCGCCGACACCCTGGAAGCGATTTTGGGTCCGGCAGAAGATCCGGGGGTGGGCAGCAGATGGGCACGGTGACCTTTGGTGCCACCTCGATGCCTGGTGGGTGGCTGAGGAGGCTTTTTGAGGCCTGGCTGCCAAAACTGGTGCTGCCAGATTGTCCTGGCACCCTCCCCCGCTCCGGAGCCTGCCCCAAAATCCTCTTTCCCGTGTGGGTGTTGCAGGAGGATTGATCAGGGAGACAGGAGAGAGTGGGATCTTGTGGGGCTGGAGCAGCTTAAAGGCAGAAGCAGGAGAGGATGATGATGGAGATGGGTTTGGGTGGGGATACATAGGACAAGGAAAAACCTTTCCCAAAAAAATTTGGAGGCTGTTTGGTGTCCTGGTAAATTTAAGGCACTGAGGGAAGCAGAAATCTGCAGGAAACGCCTAATTTGGGGAATTTTTTTTTTACCTGCTGTTGGGATCTGCCTCTCCCTGACCTCCCTGTCACAATAACAACTCTTTTGCTCCCGTAACCAGCTGGCAACAAACTCCTTACTCTGCAGATTAATCCCTCAGGGAATGCTGACATGGCAAGAGCTGGCACGGGCAGAGCTCCCAGCCCTGGACCTGCCACTTCCCAACCCTCTGGATGCCAATGCCAGGCTGCTCACCAGGCTTTTGGGATCCTCTATTTGGCCCAGCAAAGCTCCCTGGAATTTTCTGGGTTGCTTCTTATCACGCTCTGTGCCCAGGGAAGGAGATCCCTGAGCCAGAGGGGATTAGGAACAGCTTTGGCTGGAAAACTGGAGTTTAAAGAGCCCAGTGTGGGGCTTGGAGAGCCTGGGAGAGTTGTATCCATGGCCATTTCTCCATGGAAAAACTCCTTGGTTGCACTGGGAGCTCTCTGCCTGTGCAGGGTTCCCTGGCACAGCAGGGAGGGCTCAGCTCCCTAATTAATGTATTAATTACACTTTAATCAGCCTGTTCTTGAGTGACAGGCTGGGAGAGCTGGGAGTGTTCACCTGGAGAAGGGAAGGCTCCAGGGAGACCTGAGACCCCCTTCCAGTGCCTAAAGGGGCTCCAGGAGAGCTGGAGAGGGACTTGGGACAAGGGATGGAGGGACAGCACACAGGGAATTGCTTCCCACTGCCAGAGGGTTAGATGGGATATTGGGAAGGAATTCTTGGCTGGGAGGGTGGTGAGGGGTTGAAATGGAATTCCCAGAGAAGCTGTGGCTGCCCCATCCCTGGAAGTGTCTAAGACCAGACTGGATCAACCTGGGCTAGTGGGAAATGTCCCTGCCCATGGCAGGAGGTGGAACTGGATGATCTTCCAGGTCCCTTCCAAGCCAAACCATTTCATGATTCTCTGGTTTGTCTCCACCTCCAGGTGGGGAAAACCCAGGGCTCCCTGTTTCCGATCTGCTTCCAGATGGGAGCAAAGGAAGGAGGGAGGCGAAAGAGCCGGATATTGTGCTGTGCCCAGGACAAATCCTGCCCTTCATTCCAAATCCTGGTGGAGTTTTGACTGGGATAACTCATCCCTGTGCCCATCAGTGCTGTCTTGGTTGTCCCAGGCTTTGGCTGAGCAAGAAGAAGGTGGTGCTGAAGTTATTGGGGCCACCTGAACACGAATGTGGCTTCCTTGTCCCCACTGCCAGGGGGTTCTGGGTGGCCCTGACCTCTCTCTAAGCCCATTTTCCCACCCTTTCCCTTCCCACAGTGCCTTCGGAATCTGAGCTTCCAGAGCAGGAGAAGGCTTTCATGCAGTTCCATGTCACCATGCCAGAGGGACCATCGCTCCATGTCCTGCTGCAGGATCCCGAGGAGAGGAGGAAACTGGGTGAGCACATCTCTGGGGACAGAGGTCATTTAGGATCGGTGTCCACAAAGGGATGGGATGGAATTTTGGGGCGATCTCTCCGTGCAAAGACACTTTTTGGTGGGATTTCTTGGCAAACAGGCTCTCCTGGGAGGGCAGGAAAGCATCACAATCTCCTTTAGGGTGTTGAGGACCAACTCGTGGTGCCTTCACCAACCTGGCCAGCTGTGTTTGACAGTGAAACCTCCGGGTGTTCTGAGCCAGGTGACATCACCCTCATGGAGAAATCCATAGGGACATGAAGATCCTGGAAGCTCCATGGCTTAGGCTTGGCTTGACTTGGCTTGGCAGTAAAACCTCCAGGTGTTCTGAGCCAGGTGATATCACCCTCCTGGAGAAATCCATAGGGACACGGAGATCCTGGAAGCTCCTGGGCTTGGGCTTGGCTTGACAGTAAAACCTCCAGGTGTTTGGCAGTGAAACCTCTGGGTGTTCTGAGCCAAGTGACATCGCCCTCATGGAGAAATCCATAGGGACACAGAGACCCTGGAAGCTCCTGGGATTGAGCTTGGCTTGGCAGTAAAACCTCCAGTTGTTCTGAGCCAGCTGACATCACCCTCCTGGAGAAATCCATAGGGACACAGAGGTCCTGGAAGTTCCTGAGCTTGGGCTGCTGACTTGGCTCGATAACAAGGCACAGCAGATGCTTCAGGGGGTGGCATTTTTAGCTGCAGCAAAAAGCTTGGGAGACAAGAACCTCCTCCCATGTGGATTTTCAGCTCCAGGGGAAGAACAGAACGTTGCTTATTCAGCTGAAGTCGTGTTTTGGCAGCTCCTCAAGCAAGCTCAGCACCCTCATTTTGGGGTGTCACCTCCTGGGGCTCTTCCCCCTCCTTGCAACATGTGGGAAAGGAGACAGTTCCCACCAGCAATGAGTTGGGCAAAGTCCTCTGGGCTCCTCAGCCGGGTTTCACTGGGGATGGGAGGTGGAGAACCTCCCAAATGAACCCCAAAGTCAGTGTTGTGGTGACACCAGCCCAACACCCGTTTGTACCACATTCCAGCTCTTCCTGATTTTCCTGTGGGGAATCAACGTCAGCTGGTGGAAAATGGATGTGCAGCACCAACCTCAGCTTGGTTTTGGTTTAAAAAGGAAGGGAAGAAGCTCAGGGAGGGTGTGAATTCCCCATCCCTGGAAGTGTCCAAGGCCAGGTTGGATGGGATTTGGAGCAACCTGGTCTATGGAAGGTGTTCCTGCCCTTGGCAGGGGGTTGGAATGAGATGATCTTGAAGGTCCCTTCCAACCCAAATTATTCTATGGTTTTAAACTGGTGGCATTAAAATCATCTCCTTGGGAGGATATTTAGTCCCCTCTTCCCTTATCTCCTGATCTTTTAAGATTGTGTTTTATCAGACATATTATATTCCATCATCTTTGATAGAGTGGAGCCAAAAGCTTGCACAACTTCCAAAGCCAACCTCTATTCCTTATATTTTTCTATTCCTTAGATTCTTCTATTCCTTAGATTCTTCTATTCCTTAGATTCTTCTATTCCTCATATTCTTCTATTCCTTATATTCTCCTATTCCTTGTATTCTCCTATTCCTTATATTCTTCTATTCCTCATATTCTTCTATTCCTCATATTCTCCTCTCCCTCATATTCTCCTCTCCCTCATATTCTCC